GATAATGGTGCTGAAGCTGTGGCCCGCAATCGGCTAATTCTTCAGCCGACAGTGAGCACCTTTTCGCCAACAAATATTAAAGGAAGACTGAGAATACTGTGTTCCTGTTTCAACCCTCCCCGTCCCGAACTAATGTGCCTAAACGATCTGCAGTTTTTCTTCTGCTAAACTGTCAACTCAATTTATAACTGTGCATACATTCCGTTAGCATCCTACCTTTGAATTCGGTTTTTTTTCACTTTAAACAAACTCCCTATTTCGCCCAGTATTGACCAAACACAAAATTGAAACAAAAACAATACTGACTGCAAAAGACGGAGTTCGTTTTAGGTTTTTTCCTGTCTTCGAAGTTTTGGAAGGTGCCCACGGGGTGTTTTGCCAATTAACACAAGTTTTAAAAATTGCCTGTAACCTGGCAAAATAAACATATGTATATAACACTTTTTTGACAATGAATAGCTATTGTCTGACATGGTTTAAAACGAAACGACAACTGTTTGATCAGTATATTCTACTCAGTGGTACGATCACCCCGCCTGTTAAAGGAAAACACAAGCGAAAATGTAATTTACGTTGACTACAAGGAGGTTCCCCATAGTGTTCCAGACCACCGATTACTGCACAAGGCTTAATCATCAAGGATACGAGAAAGGCAACTAATTTGGATGGAGAAACTTTAGATTGACCGATCGTACTCTGTGCGGATAAGGAGGAAGAAGTTACTATTAGTTTCACTTGTGTCTGGAGTGTCTGGGCTTTTTTCCCGAACATTCACTTTTTATCTATGTCAGCGACGGTGTAAAAGGGTTGGATTTTGGACGAATCGTGTTTAAAAATTTCATAAAAATTTGGCAACCGATCAAATGCGATGCTGAAGAACGAACTCCACGTAAATCATATAATCATCCATGGAGAAGTTCGAACTCAAGTAGGTAAATATTTTGCACTTCAAGCCATAACGAAAAAAGTGAGCAAAAAGGCAACTCATATTAATAATTTCTTGGCGGAGGTACCAGACGAATTAAGTCCAGCAAAAGAACCTCGGAATCACAATTTGTTATACCATAAGCCCTCCTCCTATGGGCAACCAAAAAGGCGTTTGGCCTTCTCTTAAATATCAAAGGATCTTTCATAATTCATAAGGGCAAATTGGGGGAAATATTCAGGGCTTTTATCCGTTCGCACTAGGAACATTAAATCCTGTCGTGACGCCCATGGAAATGCGGTGGAGTTCTATGCTACCCTCATAGACCTTGCGAAGGCCTTTGATGGCGTGAATCACTACGAACTCTGGAAGATCATGTTGCAATTATGATGCACAAGCGCTTCAAACACATGGTAAGCCATCTACAGGACGGAGTGATAGGTTACCTCACGGATTATGGGGCAGTCTTGGGATCATTTAAAATGACCAGTTGAGTGCAGCGGGATGTGCGCTTGCCCACATCTTCTTACGCTTCATATTCCTTCAAAGGTAATAGACGCATCTCGTGAGCAACATCACCTGCCGGCTCGACGAACAACTGTTCCCCACATGGCGCGTTCGACCTTCTATATGTGGATGATTGGGCATTCCATACATAGATGGAAATGGCTCTTCGAATGAGAACTGAGCCGATCACGCGAGCTGAAGTGCTCCTTCTTTCTCGTTTGTATGCCAACTTATCTAATTCGTAAGGGCCAGGCGTGTGTGAGACGCATCCGTGTGTTATTGGTCTCTGCCAGCCACTGCGTCCCATCCCGCCTTCAGACCTCTTGACTCTGCCATAACGTCGAGCCAAAACAAGAGAAGGAAAAGCGGGTGCGGTTATAGCAATGCAAGCATACTTCTTCATACAAAACTTGCCGTCGCGACACCCACCTTGATCTGGGGCACACAATTGACATGGCCAGAATGGACATACAAGCATATGTTTATTAGGTTGGATTCACATAATAATTTTTTGTTAGAGGCTATTGGAAAACTAATGGGTTTTTTGAAATGGAGACTATATTTTCAATCTTAACTTGTGTCTTTATCGTGAATGCCGGTTACCCTAAAATATGATGCAATATTATGGGCTACCAAATGCTCTACCGTTAAATTGTAGCCTTTTGAATGCAGACTAAGATATAAGGCGAAGGGGGATTTCCGAATTTGATATGGCTAATTCAGACTCCAGATTCTCAGCTTATAGCCGATACTTGCATTATGGAGTGTGATAAATGCTGGCCACAACAGTCGACGATATAGAGAAACCCCGCCGTTTGTAGTCCTGTGAGGTTTTTGAAAGTATTGATCCTTCTTACTCCAATTTTTTTAATATCCACAATTTGGTGTGCAGTTTTGTACCCTGTGGTTTTTAACCACCGTTCTACTCCGTCTGCCAAATCTTCTTTTGGGACTGTGAAAGTATTATTGGTTTATTTGGCCTGCTACCGTCCACATTCCATTGCTTATTAAATTTTTAAAAATACACGCGATGTTTAACTTGGGTGTTGTTCTACCCTAGGTTTTTGAGGGATAGTGTCCAGTAAGTCCATAATCTTTTACATTTGATGTCTAAAGGTAACTGACCCTATCTACTTCTCCGCGAATAATTGAAATAGAAGCACACTTAAACGCGGCACATTCTTTTAATCTTGGCGCGAAAGTCTTTTCGGATACAG